AAGGCATATTTGAGACATTGTCTTGAAAAAGAACTCTACATTAAATAAGATTTGTTTTCGATCGTTTGAGTTCAAATTGATGATTATAAATGAAATGTTTTAATTCGGAGGATTGCAATTTTTTGAAAAAAAAATTACCTCGTCAAAAGTATGAAAAAATTCGCAAGATAGACCATCTTCGATCAAATTTTGGATTTTTTTTCGTAAGACAACAATTTGATTAAAAAAAAAAAAAAATTGATGTTGAAAATGTAATGTTCTTATGAATATATCATTGTGAGAAGTTGTTTTTTACAACGTTAAAAGTTTTATGCAAGAATAAGTTAACCAAATTTTATTAGGACGAGTCATATGTCTTCATGGTCTCGTAATAATTTAATCTATATAAATTTCGTTTTACTTTAAACATAAATGTGTTACAAGTTCTATTCAATCTTTTCGAATACAATTAAAAAGTAAGAAAGTGTTTGGATAAAATAATTAGTAATTTTTAAGGAGAAAAAATATTGAGTCCCACAAAATGTGTTTTACTTAATAAAAATAACTTTTAATTTCATACAAATAGCCGCTAATATTTACACCATTATTCTACTTTTATAAACTTCCTGATTTTGTTTATATTTTTTTAATGAAAATATTGTCACAAGTCTAATTTTTATTTTTATTATTTTTTTCAGACTAATAATTATTAAATCCTTTTAAATTATAATAAAAAATAAAATAATTACAAACAAGAACCCTTCCTCTCCCCTCCTCCCGTCTGCTATTCAATTCAAGTTCGTCTCTCTCTATCTCTCAAACATAGTTTTAAAACCCGGACCGGACCGGCCGGTTCGATCCGGAAACCGTCGAACCGGACCCAGGTCCGGTCCGGGTGTAATGAATTTATGGGTGAACAATCAACCCGCTTACAACCCGTTGGAACCGCCGGTTTTTACTAAAACCCAGGTTCTATTTTTTCTTGACTCGGCCGGGTCTTAATTTATCCAGGTTTCTCTGCCTTTCCCAGTTTCCACTGGAAACTTTCTCCACCCCGTTTCCTCACAATTCTCCAACATTAGGGATTCTTGCAAAATCAAAAAGCTCAGTCGCCGTCTCCAATCTCTTGCAATTCAACCACTCCCAAAAATCCAAATCTCCTATTTCAAATTTTCAGAGATGGAAGAAGAGGTCAGTCTCTATCAGAACTCAGATGTATTTTGCTAAAAAAAACTCGGCCAACTTGAATTTATAATTGGGCTAATTTTTCTAAATCATACATATATGTTTTCTTCTTCTGTTAACTCTCTATTTGGTTTATTTCTCGACTTTTTCCATATTGTCGGGCTGATTTTCTTGAAATCAATGAAATAGGATTGGGTTTCTCGACTTTGTCCTATTCTGAGAAGTGAGAACTGTATGTAATAGTCCCTTTTGTTTTTTTTTGGTTCCGAAATTTGAAGTTGTTTTGCTTATTTTGGTTGAGAATTGAGATCTGCACGTAATTCGTCCGTAGCCCTTTTGTTTGTCCACTGACATTCAGAAATTAGAATATACATGTATTGGAAATTTTGATTTCTGGAGAAGTTTCCAAGTTGAAGATATTATGTGAAGTATATTTGTTCAGAATTTGTTGATGATGCTGTAAATGTGATCACTGATTTCTCTGTTTATACATGCTAGCTTGTATGATTGATTATTGTTTTTAATTTTATTGTTTCAAATGCATATTTCACTATATATGATCTAGAATTTGTGGAATTTGGGATACAAGTTGATCTTTAGTTAACAAAATAATATAAGGTTCATTTAGATATTGGTAGAAAATGACAAAATTTTATTATTTTATGAAAATAATTAATAGTATATTTTACAGGTATTGACCCACCGGTTGAACCACCGGGTCAACGGTTGAACCACTGACCCGTTGACCCACTGTCTCGTCCGGGTTGGTGTCCGGTCCGGGTTTCAAAACTATGCTCTCATGAGCCCTAATTAAGAGCATGTTTGGTTAATCTTAAAATCCAATTAAAATTGAAAATATAGTCGTTATTGGGTCTCACTCGTCTAATAAAAGTCAACAATAATAGCTAGTTTTTCAATTTTAATCTCTACTGAATACGCCCTAAAAGGCAACACCACGATTTTTTCTAGCATATTCCCAAAAGTGCGAGCACCGCCTACTCCGTCGACGACACCATCCCCACAATCGATGTAAGACCACCCCTCGTAGGAGTGCTACGCTGTGCAGGAGTGACGATGGTGTTATGCGCAGCTGCCATAGTATTGAACGCATCGTGTGGTTCTTGGTGGTGACATAGCTAGTTTATATTTTCAGTGGGGCGGCCGTATCACTTGGTCGGGAGTTTCCATTAAAGTTATTCAAAATTAGGGAGGGATCTATGATGCTTTGGTAAGTAAAACGGTGGTTTGTAACCAAAAAAATGGTTAATTTGTAATCAGTAAATAATGTGGCCAGTAAAATAGATAATTTATGATTAATAAATAATATGTGATTTAAAAAATTGTAGGATTGTGACTAAATTTATAATCTTGACTCATAATTAAAAGTTTTGACTAATTAATTTGATAATTTGTGATTGTGAATTAATTCGTTACCTATAAAATTTGTGATCTGTGATCGAATAATAATATGTGATCAATTAATTTGACACTTTGTTATTAATAAATAAGTTGTGACCTATAAAATTTATGATTTATGACTATGGCATTTTGTAATTGTGAATATTATGTAACTTTGGCTATACACTATATAATATTGTGATCTTTATATATTTAATTAATAAAATATTTTTAATATCTATTTAATAAATAAAATTTTAATTATGACATGATATTTGAAATTTTAAAATAGTTTTTTTTTTAATTTTGAAATTACATCTTTTCAGACAATATATATTTTTCAACGTTCTATATGGTGAGCTTTGACGGCACGAGGAGAGACGAAAATTAAGCATGGACACAGTTTAATTTGGACAGTTTGTGACAAATTTTCAAATTTAACCACTTAAAGCGATACTAATTCAATTTTTAAGCCAAATCAATCCAAATCACATTTTTTAATTTGATTTGGTTTATTACCACAGTTTAACAAGTCAAACAAACAATGTATATCAAATAAGTTAAATCGTAAAGATTAATCAAGATCTCACGAAAAAAAAACATAAATAGTACCTTTAAAAAATATTACGAGCCAAAATTCTATAACTCTAATCATTAAAATGCAACAACGTGATAGCAATATTTTAACATCTTAGTCAATACTAATTGGTGCAACGTCTACAACTGTATCACGTGATTTATTTTTTGTATAAAGATGAGAATATAGTATATTAATTCATTTATTATTGTTAAGTGATATAAAACAACTAATAAAAGAAAATGAATAGAAAAATCAAATACAATAATACCTTCTATAACTTTTTGCAAATTATCCAATGCTTCTACCTTATTCAAATATTTACGAATCACTATATGTTCCTTATTACTATACAACTAATTTTTAGGGCAAATTACCGCATCAACTATATTAACACTCAACGAACTCCTAAATGAATAAAAAATCCAACCACTAGTAGGGAATACAGAAGCAGAAATAATTTAGGTGATAATCTTCTATTTATTTGCATTTAATTTTCATCAAAGTAATATATCAAAAGGCTCATTGATCAAATTTTCAAACGACCATTTAAGTAATCTACCTAATCATTCTAGCAATTAACAGTGAAATTCAAAAAGTAAGTTAAAATGTAAATAATTAATTGAGTGACATGATCAGGAAATTGAGATGCAAATAAACAAAAAAACCGTTGTCCTGTAGAAATTTAAGTGAGTTTGATACAAATAAGAACAGAACAACACAACTATTAATAAAATACAGAAAATAATTACCAAAAAAATAAGAAAATTTGGATAAATTAACTTAGAAATTTGGCTGAAATTGGAGAAAATTATTTGTAGAGGGAAAAGAAACGTGTAAATTTGAATTAAAATTTAGTTGAAATTTGAGAAAATTATATGCTTATAATTTTAATTGAGTTAGATAAAATTTAAATTATTTTATTTTCATTTTTTTGAACGGCCTGGCGGTTTGAACGTTAATGAATCCACGTGGGCCAAAATCAATGGTTTAAAAAAAAAAAAACGTTTTTGGTTCAATTTTGAGATTGATGATTTCGTCGTTCAGCCTTAGCAAAATGGCCACGCCTACGACCTATGCATTAATTTAGCGTTCAACACTGCAATGCCTAGGACCCATGCGATAATTTAGCACCTTGGCAATCATTATTACTATTTCAAAATTTTTTGTACACAACTTTTAGGCCAATTGGATTGAATGACACAAAAATTAATAATTATAGAATTCTCAATGTTTAGACCAATAAATTGAAAGGTTCAAAAAGCTGCTTACCCACTTAATGGTTCACTAATTTATAGAAGGCCTCTCTAAGAATTTTGTCGTAAACTTTTAATGTGAGATAAAAACTCATTTAGTTTGACTGTAACATATTGTACCTTTGGTTTAACTGTAATGTATTATACCATTTTATTTGGTTGCAGTGTATTGTGCCTTTTGTTTGGTTGTAGTGTATTGTATTATTGCATAAATAGTTATTTACATTTTATTAAATTAATTAATCATTTTTTATTTTTTATTAATTAATAAAAATTTAAAACTCGTCAAATGTTTCAATTGACACTATTATAATAAAGCTTGTTTATTGTTCAAAAATATATTTAGCCCTTGGTTGAAACACATTATTTTCAAAATACAAGTTTCCCCCATCTTCTTTTCAACCACGCATTTTTCAATTAAATAATATTGCACGTAAATCCAAACTTTTTCTTATTGTCTAACCTGACATTCTCCATCAATCTAATGTTCTAAAATACATTCTTCAATAAAAATAGAGCTCAAACAAGCTATTAAACCTAGAGTTGATATTATAATTTGTATGTATTATTAAAAAAATTTAAAATAATATTAAAATAAGAAACGTTTTTTGTGTCCTTTTACGTTTAAAGCCTCGCCTAGATGCACATCAATTGAAGTTTGACCTCAAAGCATTGCCACACGTTACGTTTTTTAGAATGCTAATATTTTCCTTAAGTGGAAATTACAGGGATCAAGAGATTTGGAGATCTCAATTCATAAATCATAGATCGTGTTCACTAATTCAAAAATAAGAGTTTTTTAATTATTAATATATATAAAATAAACATTTTTACTAAATATAACAATTCAAAAATTAATTAATCTATCATACACAATTTCAATCCCAAACCATATTTATCTCTCTCCCTTCTCCCTCTATAATCTCTCTCTAAACCTCTATATTCTTTCTTTTCTCACCCTCTCTCTAACCTCTCATCGACGATGAGGGACACACATGACAGCCGATGCAGTTGAAGATGTCGATAAACCAAAATTGCAACGCGACATATATTGGTTGTGGATTGCGCGGGACTATACGCACCGAGGCGCCGATCGTCGTTTCCCATCGGCGCTGTAGATGAGGGGGCCTTTCCTCCATTTTTTCTCTAGTCACAGATGGTTGTGTTTGTGGTGTTGGTTGTGGTTGCTAGTTGTTGGGTGGTGTTTGGTTGGGTGGTTGTGGTTATGTGTGATTCCAATGCTATTTTCAATGTGTCTGAGATTCCGAGGAGCGCAGGTGGTGAAGTTGTAGTGATGGCGAGTAGTATTCTGGCAAGATTGAGGACAAAGCAGATTGTTCGGGAAGAGCTCGTTTTTCGGGGATCAACGAATCGAGAATAACCTATAGATCTGGTATTCGATTCTTTCGATCTCGTTTCACTAGGGTTGTGACATGGAAGTGGTGGTGGATGATGAAGGTTATCCGATGGTTGTGGGTTGAGGTGTAGTTGGTCGTGACGGTGGTGCAATGCAAGTCGAGATGGTGTTTGTGGTATCGATTGGTTTGTGGTGCAAGCGGTGGTGATGGCGGTGTATTGTATGTGGTGAAGGCGATAATGCATTGTAGGTTGTGGCGGCAACGACGACTATGGCGGTGGAGTTGGGACGATGTGATAATTATTTCGATGTTGTGACCAATAAATTAGTTAATTTGTGATCAATAAGTAGTATGTGACATGTAAAAATTTTTATTTGTAATCGAAAATAATTTGTTATCAATTAATTTGTGACCAATAAATAATGTGTGGCATAAAAATTAGTTAAGTTGTGACCAATAATTTGACAATTTGTTATTTAAAAATAATTTGTGAGCAATTAATTTGATATTTTGTGATCATAAAATAAGTTGCCTGACTTATAAATTTTGTGATTTGTGACCGATAAATGAAATGTGACCTATAAATTTTTTGAATTGTGACCTTAAAATTTTTGAATTGTGACCAAATTGCATAAAT